AGACGGATGTATGAACCAAGGAATCAGTGAATGAATCTGTAGATGGATGAATGAAAGAATGAGTGAAAGAAAGAATGAATGACTGAATGAATGAATGAAATGAAATGAAATGAAAAGAAATGAAATGAAATGAAATGACATGAAATGAAATGAAATGAAAGGAAAGGAAATGAAATGAAATGGATGGATGGATGAATGAATGAAATGAAGAAAATGAAATGAAATGAAACGAAATGAAATGAAATGAAACGAAATGAAATGAAATGAATGGAATGAAATGAATGAAATTAAATGAATGAAATGACATAAATGAATGAAATGACATAAATGAAATGAAATGAATGAAATGAATGAAATGAAAATGTAATGAAAATTAAATGAAAATGAAAAAGAAAATTAATATGAAATGAAATGAATGAAATGAAATGAAAATGAAATGAAATGAACTGTTTTGAATTGAAATGAATGAATGAATAAATGAACGAACGAAGGAACGAATGAATGAAAAAATGAATGGTTGACTGGTTGAATAAGTGAATGGATGAATGAATGAATGAATGAATGAATGAATGAAGGAACGAACGAACGAATGAATGAATGAATGAAAGAACGAATGAATGAATGAGTGAGTGAATGAATGAATGAATGAATGGACAAATGGACGAATTAGTGTGTGAGTGTATGAAGCAGCTGGAGCGCAACCTGAGTGCCCAACGCCGCCCATCTCATCCCAAGCGTAGGAAAACGGTGAGGATCATGATGGCGACGATGACGCTGATGACGATGACGCTGACGCTGACGCTGCTGATGGTGGTGCTGGTGCTGCTGGTGGTGGTGCCAGTGGTGGTGGGTGGTGGCGATGCTGATGATGATGCATTGATGATGCATTGATGATGCATTGATGATGCATTGATGATGCATTGATGATGCATTGATGATGCATTGATGATGCATTGATGATGCATTGATGATGCATTGATGATGCATTGATGATTCATTGATGATGCATTGATGATGCATTGATGATGCATTGATGATGCATTGATGATGCATTGATGATGCATTGATGATGCATTGATGATGCATTGATGATGCATTGATGATGCATTGATGATGCATTGATGATGCATTGATGATGCATTGACGCTGCATTGACGCTGCATTGATGCTGCATTGATGCTGCATTGATGCTGCATTGATGCTGCCGCTGGTGCTGGTGCTGGTGCTGGTGCTGCTGCTGCTGCTGCTGCTGCTGCTGCTGGTGCTGCTGCTGCTGCTGCTGGTGGTGGCGGAGGAGGAGGACGACAACAACGACGATAACCAGGAGGGCGGTAACGATCAACCGAGTGCCAAGATCAACCGATACGAATCAAGATCGAATCAGCTTAAAGAAGGTCAAAGGGTATGAATTCTTGTGACGACATGTGACGACATGTCACGGCATGAAGAGACACTGAGGGAGTGTAGACAGTATAGATGAGAGGGAGTATACGGCGACAGGGCTTCAACTGTGCATTTTGATGTAAACAGAGACAAGACACTGAGGCATGAGGCTAGATGAGAGGGAGAGGGATTGAGAGGAAGAGAGGGAGACTGACATGTCTGGACTCTTTTACTCTTTTGCCAGGTTCTCACCGGAATTTCAGGCGCCTGAAGCGGCCACGCTCGACCTTAACAAAAAGCCAGAGGGGATGAGGAGACGACGACGCTGCATCTTCTCAAGTCGAGAGCATCGAGAGCCACTGCTCTCACAGCAGACAGCTAGGTAAATAGCTGCAAATATGACAGGTGTGGCTCCATTTGCATCCCTTGCCTCGGAAAAAAGTCACTGCAAAACGTTGTCAAAGAACATCTTTATGTTGACATCATCGGAATGCACATTTTGACTTCATCAAAAAGTCCAAAAAGAAAACCGCTCATGCCTTCAAGTCTGCCCCGGCATACTTCAGCAAGCAACACAGCCTGATCTGACCCGCCGCATGAAATTCTGCGCCATGACATGTCATGAGATGTCATGAGATGTCATGAGATGTCATGAGATATCAAGAAGTCTTGCCTTGTGTCGCCTTGTCGAGCTGCACAATGGAGTGGCGTATGCTTCTGCACGGGATATGACAATTTCTTGCCCAAACCATCTAAAACTCAAAATCAGACAACCCTGCAAAATCCTTCACGCACCTGCAAACATGACAAAACACCCAGCAATGCCTGAATTCCTGGATCCTTCAAATTCAGGCTTCAAAGTAGTAGCTAGTCGGTCAGTGTCCGTCCATGATGAACCTCTGGCATGCCGCACCTTGAAATTCACCGCGTTTGGATCCGCTCTGGATTTCAAAAGAAAGCCAGCTGTCGAGTTCAAGCCATACGAAGCAGCCTCGCACATGGTCGCAGGCTAGAGCCAAATGTTGCAACTTTGCAAATAAATTTGTGGCAGCCTGGCAGCCCCTCCTCATGCAACGCGGTAAAATTATCCTTGCCGTTGACCTTGCTCACTGCCTGTCAAACGGCTAACAGAAAAAATTACAACAGTGTGCTTCAATCAAACTGTCAACGATTCAAAGAACGAACTTTAAACAGCCAGAGTTGCGTGGACACTGGCGCCGTAGTCCAACAGAATTTGGATGTGACCTGAAGCTTGCCACAACACACTACATGATCGCTGTTCATCAGCCCCCCATTATACGCACCACGTGGGTCACTGCAGGAACAATGACATACAGTTGACATCCTGAAATACAAGGGAATAAAGATAAAGAAGTTGCACCAAATTTACCGGCGGCCAAATTCACAGAAAAGAGAGCCGTGCTAAACTGTCAGACTATGTCAGACTATGTCAGACTATGTCAGACTATGTCAGACTTCACACGACTTCACACGACTTCACACCTGCATTCCGGCTGCATTCCTGTATCGCTTGTATAGCCTGTATAGCCTGTATAGCCTGTATAGCCTGTATAGCCTGTCTGGTCAAAGCACTGCTCGTGTCACAGAGATGAACAATCTCAGCCGCCAAAGACACCCCACGACTCTCAGCATCTCTCAGCCCACACACAATTCCCCGAGACCATGACGATTTAGTCCACGAGCTGCACATAAATGTATTGCCTTGCAATATCTTAAGACAATTGCACTATTTCTTGTAACCGTCGTAATTCAATGCTTTCAAACTTTCGCATTTCTGGGCCCTTTTGGCCTTTTGGGGCCTATTTCAAGTTCTGGCCTGAGCGGAGCCGGGATCACCTCGGGAGCTGTAGAAGAACTCCTGCACAGAGCACTGCACAATGCGCTATTCTTGGTATGTCGTCAATTTCACTGATCGGACTTTGCACTGCGACATAGCAAAGTCCAAATCAGTGTCACAGTGTGAATTGAAAACTAGATACTCTGTGTGTGTGTGATATATACCATGTTACCATCTGCGGCAAATAATAGTAAATATCTATATACGTCTATTCATGTACTATCATTTGTATATCTATCTCGCTGTTATATGTAAATATAGAGATGAAGAGACTGATGCATGAACAGACTGAACAGACAAACGACGACTCTCATGGAGCGGAGCTGCGGCAGACTTGTTTGTTGTCCTGCTGTGGATCGGCTCTTTCGTCAAGCAGCCGTCCCAGCAACCCCTCACCATTCCTGAACCACTCCGAACAAGGAGAGGAAGGGCAGTGACTTCTCCAAACTGTGCATAAGTTACCAACAGTCATCACATGAGTTCCACAGTTCCACTATGCATGTTAGTGAGTGATTGCTAGTACAGTGTGAGGAAAATGGGAGTTGGGTGTTGTTTTGCCATGTTGTGCCTGTCTAAATATGCTGAGAATTCATGACTTTCTCATGATACATTCTGCAGTACCTGAGTACCTGTTTCCAGAAGGAGTAAGTACAGCCACCGCAGACAACTCTGTGCACGGCTTGTGGGCTGCTGCAACGTGCAAAGCTGTCCCGTCCTTACCCCAAGCAAGAGCGTGCAACCGTACGTTGCCATGCAATCTGGGACATTATCGTTTTTTACACTTAGTCAGGTTATTTTCAGCATGAATGCGTCTTTGGGTTTCCAGACGCACTCGCGCTGTTTGAAGTTGAACTTGAACCTTGCCTGGCGCAGTGCTTCAGAGTCAAAGCCACTGCACAACAAGTGCTTCTTCAAGAGCAATCCGCTGCAATCAGCATAGAGCTCCTCTCTGCAAAAGGTGAGCTTTAACTTTCTTGCCCCTCGATCACCTGCAACATCACCATGCTGACGCTGCTGCAGGGTGAAAAAAAATGCGAAAATATTGAACTTGACCTGGGCATTTAGTGACTTTAGTGGCTGTAACATGTTGTAACGATGTGCACAACACCTCTCAAACGTGGAACAAAGCACCGGAGTGCAAACCATGGAAAAGGGAATCGTGCAAGCCTGACTGCGAATTGAAGCTCTGCAGGATGTTCTTCAAATATATCACTCCATCAAGACCTTTCTTGTCTTCAACCTTGGAACGACAAGGTACGACAAGTGCCTCCAGTGCCTCCACTGCCTTGCTCTGAGTCTACTGCGCTGGCAAGTCGTAGAACCACAGTTTCATCCAAAGTCAACTGGGTCAGGGTCAGGTTGCTTGGCATTGCTTGGCATTGCTTGGCATTGCTTGCTATTGGTCTAGCAAAAAAGGTTAATTTTCAACGGTTTTCTCATGTTTTCGTTCATAATCTTTCCAGCCAAAGTTGCTCTGCTTTTCTTGGGTTTATGACCCTGAACTGTTCTGAGCTGTGTTGCATATTGGGTCCGTTCTGTTGGATTGGTTCAGTGCAAGTCAGGAAGGCTCCCAAGAGAATCGGAGGAGGCAAACTACTGCCATTCGCGAAGTGATCAGCGCCACCATAGCAGATACGGAGGAGACAAAGAGCACCAAGCAGGGTCCAACATGAGAAGTTTAAGAACATAAAGAATCACCGAGGAATGATGGGCCGCATTGCAATCACATAATACAGTAATACATCATAATATAAGCTTCTAAGTTCTAAGTTCGAACGTTGAGTCTTCTACTACAACAAGCATTGGTTGCAGCAGAGGCCTCATGTCATATGGCCCCAAGACAAGGGTGCAAAAGCTCCCAAGAGAGTCTTGAGAGACGATCATCCGAGAAGGAATCGGAATGTCAGAGTCGTTATCGTTCAAGACAGATTCCAACCAAGTGCAGCAGCATGCAGCGGTAGCAGGCTTGTGCTGGCTCACGTCATGTTGCAAACTAGCGCTTTTAGTGCAGAAGGTTTCTGTTGTTTCTGGCTCAGCGATAAATCGCAAGTCTTCATCAAAAATGTTCCATCTTTCCCAAAGTCATACAGTCACTGAGCATTGCCAGCAATTGCAAAGTAAATTTGATAGATCTTGATAGCAGGTATGACCAGCATGTTGTGAGACCTGTTCCAAGACTTCGACTGATTCTCATTCGGATCTCATGAGGTTTGATGTTTCATGATTGTTTACTATGTTTATCTATTTTTCCCGAGAGCGTCTGAGCGCAGGGTTCTTCCAATAGTGGGGGTCTGTAAATCATCTTCTCATCTTCACATCTTCTCATCTTCACATCTTCACATCTTCACATCTTCTCATCATCTTCACATCTTCACATCCTCACATCTTCACATCTTCTCATCTTCACATCTTCTCATCTTCACATCTTCTCATCTTCACATCTTCTCATCTTCACATCTGCTCATCTTCACAGCTTCACATCTTCACATCTGCTTTCACGACATCTTCTCATCTTCACATCTGCTCATCTTCACAGCTTCACATCTTCACATCTGCTCATCTTCACATCTTCTCATCCTCACATCTTCACATCTTCACGTCCTCACATCTTCACATCTTCTCCTCTTGCCTTCTTGCCTCTTGCCTTCTTGCCCTCACATCTTCACATCTTCTCCTTTTGTCCTCTTGCCCTCTTGCCTTCTCCTTCTTTTCTATTTCTCTTCTGAAGGCAGGGGCAGGGGCAGCGCCAACGAGACGGCAGGAAACGCAACCCTTTCGCACGAAATGAGGTTCGATCGCCAAAAATTGAAGTAAAATTGCGGGGTTTGATCGCCAAAAACTGACGTAAAATTGCGATGTCCAACTTGTCCCGCGCAACCCTTTCGCACGAAATGAGGTTCGATCGCCAAAAACTGAGGTAAAATTGCGATGTCCAAGTCGTCCCGCGCAACCCTTTTGCACGAAATGAGGTTCGATCGCCAAAAACTGAGGTAAAGTTGCGATGTCCAAGTCGTCCCGCGCAACCCTTTCGCACGAAACGAGGTTCGATCGCCAAAAACTGAAGTGAAATTGTAATTTCTCTTGTCCAATCGCGACCCTTTCGCATGAGATGAGGTTCAATCGCCCAAAACTGAAGCAAATTGCGATTTCCTGTGTGTAAAAGCGTCTGTGTGTAAACGCGTCTGTGTAAAAGCGTCTGTGTGTAAAAGCGTCTGTGTGTAAAAGCGTCTGTGTGTAAAAGCGTCTGTGTGTAAAAGCGTCTGTGTGTAAAAGCGTCTGTGTGTAAAAGTGTTAGTGTGTAAAAGCGTCCGTGTGTAAAAGCTTTTATGTGCAAAAGTGTCTCTGTGTAAAAGTGTTTGTGTGTAAAAGCGTCTGTGTATAAAAGCTTTTGTGTGCAAAAGTGTCTGTGTGTAAAAGTGTTTGTGTGTAAAGGCGTTTGTGTGTGTGAAAGCGCCTGTGTGTGTGCAAGCGTCTGTGCGTAAAAGCGTCTGTGTGTAAAAGCTTCTTTGTGTAAAAGCGTCTGTGTAAAAGCTTCTTTGTGTAAAAGGGTCTGATGTGTGTAAAAGCTTCTGTGTGTAAAAGCGTCTGCGTGTAAAAGCGTCTGTGTGTAAAAGCTTCTGTGTAAAAGTGTCTGTGTGTAAGGGCGTCTGTGTGTAAAAGTGTCTGTGTGTAAAAGCGTTTGCGTGTACAAGCGTCTATGTGTAAAAGCTTCTGTGTGCAAAAGCTTTTGTGTGTAAAAGCGTCTGCGTGTAAACGCTTCTGTGTGTAAACGCTCCTGTGTGTAAAAGGGTCTGTGTTAAAAGTGTCTGTGTGTAAAAGCGTCTGTGTGTAAAAGTGTCTGTGTGTAAAAGCGTCTGTGTAAAAGCGTCTGTGTGTAAAAGCTTCTGTCTGTGAAAGCTTCTGTGGGTAAAAGCTTTGTGCGTAAAAGCGTCTGTGTAAAAGCGTCCGTGTGTAAAAGCGTCTGTGTGTAAAACTGTCTGTCTGTAAAAGCGCCTGTGTGTAAAAGTGTCTGTGTGTAAAAGTGCCTTGTGTGTAAAAGCGTCTGTGTGTAAAAGTGTCTATATGTAAAAGCTTCTGTGTGTAAAAGCTTCTGTGTGTAAAAGCGTCTGTGTGTAAAAGCTTCTGTGTGTAAAAGTGTTTGCGATGCAAACTATTGTCTTGTACTTGTGCTATATTGTCTTGATACTCCTCTTCTCGACTGCCTATAACACATCTTTAATATATTGTTTTGTAATATGGTGTCTCCATACTAACAAGAGAAGACTCTGCTCCTCTACGCTCTCGGGCCATCCGTCGTCTAGTTCATTTGTTTGTCTTTTTCATTGGCCTCGTGCGGGTGGTCGGTCCAAGTTTGAAGCAGCCCATGTGGCTCGATCTTGGTCACCTGTGCAGTGTCTCAAAGCTTTTCGGAGCATCACGTTTTTTTCAGACTGTCAGGCCCCTCTGCGCCCAGATATATGCAGATGCTTCTGAAATCATCTGAAGTCTGCATTATTCTGCATTCCTGAGTTTCCTAAGTTCCGTAAGATCCCTCAGCACAGCACTTGTGTGGATAAAGGGATCTGAGAGGCTGCCGAGGGAGTCGCCTAATTCAGCAAGACCCAAAATCGGATGAAGACCATGACGGAGAGATGAGTAGTGGCCGAAAGAAATCGGAATCTGAGTTTTGGACAGGAACATCTGCAATATGCATCCCTGCGAAAATCTGATCAACAAAAACATCGAATAGGAGGCTACAAAAAACAATGGGATCCAGTCGTGCACTGACTCCTGGGAAGGAGAAAGGCCTTTGTTTTCCTCATGACTTTATATGACTTCATCAAATCCGGTTGCAATGCAAAGGCTCTTGCCAAGCGCTTGGTCGGGAGACAGCAGCACGGTCACTTCAAAGAATGCCTGAAACAATTGTTGAGCATCTCTGGGATCAAGTTTGGCTTTTGTCAATTCTCTCTGCAAACGTGCTGGCTGCGCCATCAAGTTTCCAGCTCGCTCCTCAATGCTGAGAAGCAAGATGAATCAACTGTGATTTGAAGATCTGACACTCAAGTGCTCCCCTTAACAAAAGTGACAAACGGCTCCTGGGCTTTGAAGAACAGGTTGTCCAACTTCTCCTGCCATGGCTTCAGAACTCAGCTATCACTAAAATAGACTCAATGTGGTTGTTGCACTTCCTGGATTTGAATGCTTGGAGATAGACATACATACTTGTGTGTGTGTGTGTCGTTGTTGCCTTTCCATTTACATCAGTGGTGGAGAACAATGCAAGCTGACCCAGGACAAATGTGCTCAACGGGGACTCGCATGACAAACTTGCAGTGTCCAAAACTTGAGAGCAAACGGGGACGAAAGGTATGTAGCTATGATAGTGGGTGATTCAATGGAGACTGCAGAGCAAACATGTCATTTGGTTGGTTCCTGCCAGAATAGATCCATCAGAGATGAAGATGATGATGATGACGATGATGATGATGATGATGATGGGGATGCGCATGAGTATTTGCATGGGCATGGGCATGGGCATGGGCACAGGCGTGTACACGGGCGTGGGCAGCAAATGATTGGGATGCTGACCAAAATTATTTGGATGCGCATGCAGATGACGAGATGAGGAGGAGGATAAGAGCTGTGCTCTGATGTACAATATACACAATGACGCCCGAAAATAAAAGCTATGTTCAAACCTTTCTAAAATTGGTAGCAGCAAGGCGCATGTTTGGCCAGGGAACATGTACTAAAGCACAGTAAACTCAAGCAGCTGAGGCTACCTTTCGTGATTCCACTACTGTTGCTTCACTTTCGAGTGGTGACAGCAAAGTCCTGTCGCTTTCTGCCTTGTCTCCCAGAAATATTTCACAGAAAGCATGTTTGGGCGAAAAACAGGCACACATGAATACAAACGAGCAGTTTTGAATCCTTTGAAAATCTCACTATCCCTGAAATCGTCGATTAAATGATGAATGTATCTGCCCATATGCGTGATCGGCCACCGTATGATTGATGATGTTGATGCGCCGCAAAGCTGCGTTTCAATCGGACTCGTGGTTCCCATGACACAATTGCTTATGCCTTACGCACACCCTTCTCCTTTCCTGCTTACGTTTGTCTTCAACTGAACCCCAGTAAATTGTAAATATATATATATATACACATAATGTGATATTGTTCAAATATACTTATTATTCATTACATCTTTACATATTCATATTGCGTTTCATCAGAGCTGCCGACAACTGGAAACACTTAGTTGGAATCAATGACTTCAAATTAACAACTCATAGTCACAATAAATCGATTACCTTTCCCAAACCACCCACCTACACAGACCTTACAAAAACAAAACGACTACACGCTTATCACGCAAAATCACGAAAGTAACACTCAGCCTTAGAAGATGAAACTGCACAAGATGAGCTCGATGCACTGTTTCATCCGTTGTCCATGTTTTCCGGCCAACTAATTTCAGATGGCGTGGCCGTGTTGCTACGATAAAATCGATATAAATCTATAAGGAGGGATAGGAGGGTGAGAAGTGTGTTGGAGTTTTGAGCATGTTCCTGGACTTTCTGGTACAAGGTCTTTGCGCGATGCGGAAACTGTTAGTCTGCTAAATATTCAGCGGGTCCATAGCCCAAATTAGTGTGATGTAGTGTGCAAAAAGGCTGCTGTGGGCAAACTGGGCACATCGGGGCACATTGTTTCGCCATGGTTTCGACGTGTGGTTATCACAAGTTATCAATATGTTATCATGTTGTAAGTAAATTATGTATAATTATGTCGCATTGTCCGGTTTGGGATTCTTCCTTGCATTGGGCAGATTTTCGGTGTAAATCGCCAATAAAAGTCAACACTCGCCAGGATGCCACAGGGCTTGCATGCAAGCAGCACGACCATTGTCCCACTGATTTAAAGAGTAAACAAGGCTGCACATTGAAGGAAGTTGAAATGTTGATCGCAAGACCCACAATTACAATGCGATCAAGAATATACCTATATACCGCATGCAGCAGCACACACCCATCTTTCTTCCCTTTCATTCCTTTAAATATACTTTGGAAGCTTCCACAATCTTGTTTCGCAGTTCAACAATATCTCGCTGCGCATGTCCATCTTGAATGCTGCTCATCAAATACAGCTGTGCCCTTTGCACCGTCAGTTCTTTGAGTTCCACCATCAGCCCTCTTAATTTGCAAATAACTCGAAGAGACTTGGCAAACTCAAAATAACTCGAAGCTCCATCACTCACGATCCAATTCCAGTCCACTCTCGCGGTGTACTTTAGGCAAGTTCGGAGTCCTCATCATCTCCGCTGACAGGTTTCAAATCTTTCTGCCACTTCTCATCCTCCTCGTCAAAGAATGTTAAAGAGAAACAGCAGCCATCGGGCCATCGGGCCATCGTTGAACTACTCGACTTTCCGACTGTCCTCGTCTCTTTCCTCCGCAAGCTCCACATAGTGAGTCTTACCTTTGCCGACAAACTGAAATGTCCACATAGTCACAGAATTTGACATCCATTGAAATCTGTCTGCAAAGTGGCTGAGCTGAACTGAGCAATATGTACATTAGCCTCTAGTGACTCTAGTGGTCCCTGTACTCGGCCAATGGCCGAGAGCATAACTGGAGACTCCAGAGGCCATGAACCTCATCGTTTTGGCTGCAGCGGCTGGAGACTCGAGACCGAAAAACAAATGGATACAAATGGTAGATATTGGTGGATATTGGTAGATACCGCAGATACCTATGCCATCCTATGCCCATGCCAGCAGAGACCCCTATCTCTGCGCGCAGTCCGTCACATCGAAGACACACGTTACACGTTACAGCAGCACCACCTTGTAGCAGCACCCTGCCCCCAAAGCGCCTTCACTCAAAACACCTGTCACCCTGCCTCCGGCAAACAGCCAACTCTTTTGATGCGAACAAGAAGCGGATAGGCAAAGCTAGTTGGAGAATGAGAATAGAAAAAGTCTGAAAGAGTCATATTGGTTTTGCTTAGACTGTACAGCCCCTACCGCCGTTGTACATTTCGAGAAGCCAACACCTGTCCGAGCCGTGACAACTACCAACCTTTTCTTCTAATCAAGACAAATCATGATAAAGCATCTTGTGTCCTCCTGCATCTACCCCAAATCATCAAAAATCATTAAAGCGGCCTCCACCTTCATTTGAACAATGCCCTCATGAAAGCCAATATGGATTTTGAAACTGGTGCGTATAAATGTGCCTTGGAGCTTGAGATTGACTGACCCATTTGGCCCTAACAAGTTCCTCTAGTGGCAACTGTCCCTGTTGAAGAATGGTGGACTTCTCAACTGGTTATACTGACTTTTGCACACTTTTGCGGTGTTTGCTGGCAAGCCACTTGAAACCTTTATGGTGAGTTCTCTCCAACTTCAGTAAGAACAGCAGCTGATTTTTTCCCTCGTTTCTGGATGAGGCGTAAACTGCCTGTGGGTTCGCGTGTACGGGCCCCTTGAAGAGATACGAAGGCCATCCTCGCAACCAAACCAACCCCACACACCAAATAAGTCCATTCCAAATTGAATGCATCAAATAAATTCAAATAAGTGAATTACAAGTGAATTGTAATAATTACACATCGTTTGATCCAACTGGCCGGTCCATTTGAGCTGCCTTGGTGCCTGCCAAGTTGGAGCAGGTATGATGAGAGAGGCTACACATGTTGTATGAACGAGCGGTATGCGGATCTACAAAGGTATGATATCAATTGATATAATGGAAAATAATTCAGATCAACTGATCAAGCTTGTGGAAGGACAATGCCATGTCGCCGTAGGCCACATGCCTGTGCGCCCCGCCGACTTCTCCTGAGAATCACTTAGCTTCCCTAAAGAATAGAAAGCCGGCATAGGGAATGTTTGGAGACTGTGGACAATGCTCCCAAAATGGTGCCCTGAAACACGCAGTGAATTCACTCCGTCCTCCTTTGCCATCCCAATGGTCAGCAGCTATCATGAAGTTGATGCCATGTGTGTATCAGTCCATAGCAAGACTGTTGATTTGCAGGGAGGTGCTGAACTATTTTAAGAGACTGTTTGATTCCAGGGGTGATCAGGCCAGTCAAAGCGCTTGCCTCATGTCTTTACTAATAGTTGGTGAGAATGGTGAAAACTGGAACATGATGACAGATTCGCTACGTATGTTCTCGAGGGGGGTGAGCACCATTGATTGGGCAAAGTAATACTGCTAGGAAATTCATTTTTCAATTTTGTCATTCTTTGTCCAAGAATCTGAAAGCAATGGAAATTCATGCAATGCAAAGTTGACGCGGGACTGGATTTCCGCAAGATTTCAAACTGCACTCCCAGCCCTTGGCTGTGTTTCCTCACAAAGCATTGTTTTTTCCTTCGCTTTCTAGCAGTTGGAGTCAAACAATGACCTGAAAGCAGACCAACTTGTCACCAAAGAAACGGTTTCAAAACAATATACCATTAAGACATTAAGATCGTGAAACTGTATTTGAGGTACTGCACCTGGGCTTTCCTCAAAACCTTAAGCTGCTGGGAAGGTCCTGGGCCCATTGGGACACTCACTCAGACAGGCACTGAAAAGACATGCAAGAATGGACCAGTTGGTCCAATGTTTCAAACTCATCGATTCTTCGAATTTCAATGCACATCGTGAAACAAACTCAGCTCAGTTGTCCCCTTTGAATCCTGTGTCTTACAAGTCTTACCGGGACCAGGGACGGCTCATGGGACACCCTGGCATGCACATGGAAAACTCACGAAAACTCCCCAAAGAATGAACCACTCTTAGCCGCTAATATCTATCACGCATAAAGAAGGGAAACTCAGGGCGCACAAGTTGCATTTTTAGTTTTCTGTCTAAAGAATGAAAAATCCCCGTTAGAGTTGCGCACAATCCGCCAGCCAAAAAACCTTTGAAATCTTTGGGGTATGTTTGGTCTTCTTCAGGATTTATATGCTTGACATTTGCTGCCCTTGTGGTCTCTAATGTCGCATCTCATTGTACTTTTTGAGCCATGTTTTGGCAAGCACTGGGAAGTTTGACATGGGCGATTAAGGGTTTTAAAAGTTTTAATGTGGTTTAATATGTTTCCAAAATAAGGTTCTCAAGGAAAAAAAACAGAAAATTGAAAACCTATACAGCAAAGAAATAGATGTCTCCCAAAGTGAATGCAATAATCATCAAAAGATTGGTTATATTTTTGACGCCCCCGGTTGTTTGACTCTTTGTGGAAAAAACCAAAGGGGATGTTCAGTCCTGGTTTTCGTCGACACATCTACATTTTCATAGTAGGCCTTGGATCATGGCATCTGTGACTGCACTACCGGAGCTGCATTTCTGAGGATGCGTCTTTTCAGGTGCTGGTGGTTTTCCTTTTCCATCCTCGGTATGAAATGTCCAAAAGGGCCGGTCATCAACAGCATCCACGGCATTCCACTCAGCTGCGTGCTACGATATGTCACAACACTGCAATCCTGTTACGCCCGTAAGGCCTGTGCTCCTGTCTTGTGGTCTTTCTGGGCCTGTCGTGTCACTGTTTTTAAGGCATTTTTTTTGATGCCCAAGGCTTAGGAAAGATGATTGATCTATCACTCTTTGAGATTGCAAAAAACGATGATAGGAGATGGTACGTGTGTGTGTGTGTGTATGTGTGTACCATCTGTATAGACGTAAAACTTCTATTTTATGCGGGGGCGTGTGGCACTCATGCCCTGATTACACGCAACGAAGCTGTGGGCATGAGTGGGAAGGGAAACGTCGTGGCCAGTTTCCTGTACCTGCATAAAGATAGGTAGATTAGATTAGACTAGACTAGATTAGATTAGATTAGATTAAGATTAGATTAGATTGAGATTAAGATTAAGATTAGATTAGATTAGGTTAGGTTAGGTTAGATTAGGCTACGTTAGATTAGATTAGATTAGATTAGACTAGACTAGACTAGACTAGATTAGATTAGATTAGATAGATAGATTAGATAGATAGATTAGAGAGTTAAAATAGATAAGACAGAGAAGACAGATCAGACAGATAAGACAGATAAGATAGATAAGATAGATAAGAACGAAAATATCGATAAGATAGATCAGATAAGATAAAATAAGAGAAGATTAGATTAGATTAGATTAGATTAGATAGATTAGATCGGTTAGATAGATGGTTTAGATAGATAAAATAGATAAGACAGATAAGACAGAAAAGACAGATAAGATAGATAAGATAGACAAGATAGATAAGATTAGGTTAGGTCCGAATAGGTTAGATTAGATTCAGATTAAGATTAGGATTAGCTTTAGATTAGCTTTAGATTAGCTTAGCTTAGCTGCTAAAGCTTAGATAGATAGATCGATCGATAGACAGATCGATAGATAGATATAGTCCCGCCCCTGGGCGCATTTAAGTCGCAGCTGGGGGGACCTTTATTTTTCAACGGAGTTTTAAGCAGCTCAAACTAAGCTGGCACTCCTTTTCTATCTTTTCTCCACCAGGCTTGTGCCACAGGCTAGAGCTACTTGCAGCTCTTGAGCCATAAGTAACATGACATGTTGTGTACATGGTGAAACATGCTGACTAACATTAGGAGATACCGCACATCAAATCACCCCTCCTAGGCCAGGTGGCGACGTTTCTCTCACATTGGCCTCACACAAGTTGCTTGGCACCTTGGGCTGAATCCCATCGTACGAAGGTGCTTGTCCACGGCAACTTCGGGTAATGTTTTTGTGCAGAGATCTGGGACATTCTGCGGCGTTCCTACTTTCTCCAGAGTGAATGCTTTCTTTGTACCTTTTCTTGTACACACAAATAGCGCGTCTCCACATGGCGCGTCTGAGCTAAGCCTTGGCGTTGTGTCATTCCTCGTGCTGCCGAACTGTCAGACTCGACTGTCAAGGAAACTTTGCCTTTTCGCTTCAGTACCGGCATGCTTTGCTCGGTCTGGCCCGGTCCGATATGTCCATCGCACTTGAACTCGTACCGTTCACGTAGAACACGATCTACAAATGCGTGACCCTCTTCATCGGCCAGTACCAAGGAGTCATCTCCGTGCACCAGCAATCGTTTTGATCGCTCTTCGTGCAGGAAGATACATGGCCAGGCTTGGCCTGTTCTGAACCCATGTTTCTGTAACAGAGACGTGTAGTCTTTCTGCCACGTCGAACTCGCATCACGAGTCCTATACATGGTTTTGAGCGATAGTCCACACATCTAGTGGCTGTCCCATAGAAATGGACCCGACTAATGTCGGTCAGCTTCAGTGTCAACTTACCTCCACTGCGTGAAACACGCAATGTGGCTAGTAGTGAACACATCAGCTTAAGCGCCTCTAACAGGGGCATCGAACTGAACAGTGAGTATTCTGGTAGCATGGCTGCATCGCCCTTACTCTTTACTTCTCGTACTACCAGTCTGCTGATAGTTCTCATGGACACTGTCGCCCTTGTTTCTGGCCATTTTAACGTTAATTATCGGAGGTCTGCCGGCTTCGGCGTAGCAAGTATCTTCACTGATCTTCGTATACACCCCTTGTCGCTTGACTCGTTCTAGCTCGGATGCACGAGCTTCTGCCACTTTCTTTGGATCGAGTGTCACACCTGCCTTGGCGTCGATCACTGGTTCACTGACGCGTAGCTCACTTGCTTTTGGAAGAGTGCCATGGTGATGTTCTTCGAAGTTCGCTTCCTCATGTGGGTCTGGGCCTCCCACATGACCGATCTCCTTTATTTCTCCATCTAGCACCAATTGCGCTTTGACCTGTACAATTGCATTCACCAACTTCGGAGGGTATCTGAGCTTCTCTTTGACCTTCCCCTCCTCGAACACGAGGCGTCATTTTCATAAGAGAATGTGTGGCGATGATTCTTTGCAACAACGCTCTTGAGAGCGGAAGCTATTGCTGCTGAATTTGTGATCCAGCGAGTCTTCTTCTTCAGCTTGCTTCCTGCCAAAGCCTTGCCACATTCGTCAACTGACCACACACACATACACACATTGGTCCTTCTACGGTGTAGGACTCTTCGCTCAAAGATTGGTATTGAGCATGTTCCCAAGATTTCATTCCTCTTGGACACTCTTGCAGGTAGTAACGCCCTTCGTGCACTTGGTGTTTGTAGCCTTCAAGGCATGAACGCAATTCCTTTCTTCCTTTCTCCAATCTCTTCTTGGCTTCTTCCTGTGTGACCATTTCCAGTTCTTCGTATTTTCTCTCCAGGTCAGCAAACGGTCCATCCGGAGGCAAACCTATGAGAAGTAAGGTCTTGTCCTTTCTCAGTTTCTGAGACTGTTCTTCCACTCCTGCCTCTGTATGAAGCTTCAATCCCTTCTCCTCGACATTGAGACACAAACCATCATTGACAGGAACATCGGACTTGAAATCCGCACCTAGTGAACCAACCAGGTTGGATATCGTCCTTGCTTCCCGGTTTGTGCATTTGATTCCTTCTTTTTAGAAAATTCGTTCTACAAGACCTATCATGGCCTCCTCATTGGACTCCTCCGGTTCTGCTTGACCTCCTTCAGGCATTGCGACGTCAGGTACAGGTTCCGGTCGCTGTACTCCCGGGCTGCTTGAACCTCCTATCTGATGTTGAACCACGACTTCAGGATCATCGGTGGACCCTGGCGCTGGTCCCTCGTTCAGATCGAGATCCTCTATGTCTTCAGCCTCTCTTTTCTTTCCTCTTGCTTCTTCTTGGGTCGGACGATATCTTTTCCTTCTACCTTGTGCTTCGTCTGGCTGTCCAGCCTCGACTTCGGCGGGTCTTTCGAAGGGTGCTCCTGCAGCTTCATCTGCTGCAACTTTTGGAGCATCAGGGGGCGGTCTGCCTTCCAGCGCAGGTTGTTCCTTGGCTTTCTTGCTTCTTCTTCTTCTTCCATAGTCCTTTTCCACTCTTTCTTTGGCCTTGTTCACTCTTGCTCTTCCTTCTGCGGATTCCATCAGCATTCGCAGTCGACACTCTTCGTTGTGTGCTCTGGCCGCTGTTCCAACTAACTGGGCCATGCATCCTGGACACAGTGGCGTGTGTCCGTACTCTTCGATGTCGCATTTGAGTATATCGAAGTTCCGAGCCTTGAACTCGCGTTCTTCTGCTCTTGGTTGTTCACCAGCGATTGCTGGCATGTCTACTCTATTGGGCGCCGCCCTTTCTACCGGATTCGGCCCGTCATTTCCATGGAAGTCCACGGAGTTCGTCGATCCTTCTGCAGTCCATCTGTCTTCTTCTGGTCTACCGTGAAGTGAATGGCCTTTCACAAATCCTTTTGGTGTCATGACCAGCAGGTCGGAGTTTCTGCTCGCTGTCCCTATTTACCATGCAACAGTGGTTCCAGTGGGGAACTACATGTTCTTCCGAAGGCACCAACATGCAGGTTTGAACAGAATTTGTTCGCTACTGTTGGCCTTCTCCATTCTCAACCCAATGCTCTCTGGTACGCACTCTTCCCATCATCGCCTATCCTGAACCTTGCAATCGGAATGCGGCGTGGCGCGCGATCCAAGCCAACATACTGTGGTTGGGATCCACCTTCTTGTTCAGTTTTGTTTTCATTGCTGACAAGATTGCATGGATCGATCTTTTAATGAGGATTTCTCCATTTTGGTCCAGCACAGCGTGCTGGTTCTTGCAGACTTCGGTTCCGGTGCACTGGTGCAAGTTGTCGTCGCAGTTCTGCCTTTGTACCATTCCTCAGCTTTCCCGCAAGTACGCATGGACATGCATCTTGGATTGCGTCACCGGATGCAGTGCGGAACGTTGTTTCCGTCCCGACTTCCGTGCCACTTCCGTACTTCAACGGAATGACCCTCACAGCTGCTCGGGTGTCGAAGTTTACCTCGACCTTTCCTCCCCCGGGCGAATCGCGCGAGGTGGAGATCTGGCCAACTTCGCCTTCCACTAAGCACACTGCTACCTCTTCCAGATCCTGGATCGTCCTTCCACCAGTCCTTGCCCTTGTCTTCAGGGTCTCTGTCTGGATCATCTGGTTTCCATGTGCCCCATGTTTCGTCTTCTTCTTCCTCGTCTTCTTGCTGACGAGCTCGTCGCCGCTTGTTGTGCGACCCTTTTCCTTTGCCTTTCTCGGCATACTTTTCTCTGACTCTTTTTCGTCGCTCATTGCGTTTCTTGTTCATCATTTGTCTGGCCTCCTGTGGGAAGTCTTTCTTCTTAGTGTACACCGTGGCACTGACGACGGTTTCATTTCGTCGTCTCCTCCTTCGCGGTATATAGGTCTTTTCCTTCCTGGTCAGTGGACGCAGGTTTATTCTGCTAGAAGGTTCAGCCTCTCGACATTCCTTGTCCACTACCACCGTGGGAATGTGTGCGTCCCTTTCTCTTTGCAGGTCTTGGCGGTTCTGTGGCCGCTCTTCTCCTCCTTCACGAAAGTGCTTTGTCCAGGCCTCTTTGTGTTCCAACCTACTTGTTGCCCGATCGGCAATTCCCTGCCGACGGTTTGTAGCCGCTCTACGCCTCACCTTCTCGGCCTTCCAGGCCTTGGAGTGTGCAACACCTTTTGCACGTGCCATTCTGTACCTTGCATCGTGGTGTTCTTGGATCAGCCTTTCAGTAGCAGCTTTCGGAGATGCCCTTGTACGTCCCCGAGCTCTCAGCTCTTCAGCCTCTTTGTTCAGCCTTTCTAGCTCCTCTTCAAGAGCCATCCTTTCCATGTTTTCGTCTTCCGTGAGGAAGTCCTTAGCTGCTTGCTCTGCCAGTGCAACTAGCTGAGTTCTTACTCTTTGTCGGTTCTCTGCATTGGCTGGCATCAGCGATCCAGCCAGCAGGTTGCGCATGGCACTGGATGAACTCATCGTTGTGCCAAGGTCCGTTCCGTTCCAGCCCCAACAAGTGAAGCACCCGTTTGGCTGTCGGAGCCCTTGCCTTTTCCCTTCTGGCCTTTGGTGACCTCTTGCGTCACCTCCGGCTCTTCTTCTTCGACAATTTCCTCATTATTGTCCGACTCTGTTTCATCTTTTACTTCCTTCTCTTCGGACTTTGTTCCTGTTGACTTTTCATCATCGTCAACATCGTCCTCCTCCTTCGGGGACTCACTCTCCCCACCCTCTTCTCCATGTGGGTCCACGGACTCTCAGCCTTCACTTGCCTCAGCATCGTCCGCATCTTCTTGCGCCGCCTTTGCTTTCGCCTTTGCCACGCGTGACTCCCTTGTCTCACTTGGACGTCTCAACATTCCTTCACGACGCAGCACATGTCACGCCAGCCCTGAACTGGCCATTAGCAGTGTTGGTGCAGGTGCACCACGACCTCGCTTTCTAGCGATGTAGTCTCACAGCTGCAGTCATGAAAACCTTCTCACAGTACAGGTATAGAGCATGTTGGACCTTGTTTCTTCAAGATCGTTTGCCCCACACTCCCACGTGGCAAGTGCTTCCTCATGGGCCTCTAGTTTTCATCATCTGCATTACCTTCACGCCTTCGGGCACACGTGGTGCAGTTGCCTTTGCACCTGGCTTCGCAGGTACTGCTTTCTGCACGGGTTTTGTCTTTGAAGCCTCTGCAGGTGGTCTCTTGGGTGAGGTTACCTTCGCTGTCGCTATCGCTTTCGGTGGCGGACCCTTTGGTTCTGGGGGTCTCGCTGGCCTGGACATCCTGTCCCGCAGAGGACGAAGTGTCCCTGCTGACCGGCGTCTTCGGCGGTGGTGCCTTTGGTGTTGGCCGTGCCTTGGCCCTCGCCTGCAGCGCAGCTAACCCAGACAAAAGGAAGGTTTCTCGCGCAGCAGCATCTTCGTTCGCCACACCGAACGGCGATCCACCTAACCCTGCTTTACTGGAGCCGAGAGGCCCCCAGCTGCGGGTACAGGCAGGCTGCTCAACGCAGATCCAGGTTCAGTTGACTCGTTAGCCTCGCGTTGCCATGGGTCTCTTGGGCTGCTTCGCCTTCTTCCACATTGTTGGCTCTTTGCCCTTGCATTTCTTTCCTGAACATTTACCTTTCTTTCCTTTCGAAGCATTCTTTCCTCTAGAACCTTTTGATCCACCCTTGGATCCTTTTCCAGCTTTTCCAGAGTTCGTGTTCGTGTTCCCTGGACCTTTTCCGTATGTGCCTTTCGAGTAGCTGGGCGCATGTCCCTTCTGACCCTGTTTGGCCCAACACTCTGCGGCGACAAGCTCCGAGAAACTTGCTTCCACGGCCTTTCTGTCCTCCTTGGTGCACAACAGATGGGAGCTCTGGTTGGCCAGAGTACTAGCAGCAGAGGCCATCTTCAAGCTTTTCCCGGTCTTGTGTTCCAGGTATCGCATGATCTCTTCCAACAACTCATCAAACGTGATGAACCTCGCTTGGTTCATCTGCACATGAGACTCGAGATCCGGTGTGGCAGCATTGCTTCCAATGCCGCTGTCTTGATCTCGTCTGGGATGCTCGTCCTGTTTCCTGCTGCATCTCGTCTCTTCTCGTAAGTTCTGACCGCATCCATCCATTCTTCTATTGCTCGTCGAGGCAGAGATTCTAACTTCTGCTTTTGTGGACTGATCACAGTCTTCAGCATGGTTCGTTTTCGTGATGCAGTAGCGGGGTCGTAGCGACGCGTGAGTCATCTCCACGCTTCGAACCCACTTGTTCCGCAGTTGATCACGATCGCGACGGGTTCTTTCTGCGTGACCATGCAGTGCAGAAGCCAACTCACTGCTTTTCTCGGCAAGGTTGAAGACATGATCCAGCGCATCAGCTTCATCGCCGAACGCCTTCGACAGTTCTTCTGAGGAGATGCTTTGCTCCCTGTCTTCACACCATTCCAGCACCTCTTGTAGGCCTGGATACACAGAGCGGATGTAGCTGGACATCCTGTGCCTCCACGGCGGGAACTGTTCAGTTTCACCTGAGTATACGCTTGGCTTTCCGAACCCTTTGGTTTAAACAAGACACCGTCGGTCTTTTCTTTCCTGGAGTCTTGTACGGCTTCTTTCAACGCAGTTTGCTGTGCTTGTCCCATCTCTTGGATGGCTGGCACCATTCCTTGTGCACCTAATGCTGCTTGGGTTGCCTCTTGTCTTACTTCTTGCAACCTCTGAGCATTCTCCTGTCTTAGCACGTCCATCCCCTGTGTATGTCTCTGACTTTGTGCTGTCAGCTCTCGTTTAACTGCTGCCAACTCTGCAACCATTGCTTGAAACTCTTGTCGGGTGGCCATTTCTTCTTCTGGTCCTCCTCAGGTGAATCACCCAAGTGGACCCTCAATCCTCTCGAGGATGAGACCTTGACAACCGCTGCCTGAACGCTTGGCTCAGACTAAGGTGCTGCAAGTGCAGCCCCAAGTTGTGCCAGGGGTGTTGCAACCTCCGCGCACGTCTGAGTTTCCTGATCAGGCTTTGCCGCCTCAACAGGTGTGGCGTTGCTGTGTTCCTCCGACGACAGCAGCAACGTAGACACATCCACAGACGCTCTACACCGAGAGCTCCGCTACCATGAACGGAGTTTTAAGCAGTTCAAACTGAGCTGGCACTCCTTTTCTCCACCAGGCTTGTGCCACAGGCTAGAGCCTAGAGCTACTTGCAGCTCTTGAGCCATAAGTAACATGACATGTTGTGTACATGATGAAACATGCTGACTAACACTATGAGATACCGCACATCGAAACAATTTTATCGCTGTTGTTATGTATATATATATGTTTATTTGTCTATTTATTTACTTCTTTATTCATTTCTCGTCTATCGTGTTAATGTGTTTTGTTGGTGTTTGTTGCACGTCCGATGCATTCCACCTTCACAATTTGATAAAACAGTTCTGAGCAAGTGTAAGTTTGCGTGTGTGTGTGTGTGTGTCTGTGTCTGTGTGTGTGCGCCGCCATGGTCGCTCTGTCACTTTGACACCCACACGAAATTATCGAAGGCCTCCACGTCACGCCTTGGGCCTCGCAACACCCGCCTCAGGAGCATTGGGAAAGCAACACCTAGAAGAAAGGAGTGCGTTGGAATGCGTTGGAGCGTTGGAACACTAAGTTCCGAAATTGTGCATTTCTGTGTCTGTGTATGTATCTATATCTTATAGAGTGATGCATCTATGATATAATCTATATGATATATTCGTTTACCATGACCTTCAAAGGGCTCCGACTTAGCAGGGTTCTCAATATGGCACCCCAACTTGTTTGATGATCCTGGACGAAGCATACCTTTGCATGCCCTTGTTTCGGAGACACATCTTCCTATCGAAAACTTCCGCCAGCCGCTTTACTTGTTTACATATTATACCAGTAGTACCGCACAAGGCGGTGGCGGAAGTTTCAGAAATAGGAAACCTTATAGGAGAGGTTGG